TACTTTGTGGGAAAAAGTCAGACAGGCCAAAGGCATAGCAAGGACCTTACTAAAACCCCAGCACAAAGAAAGATAAGCCTCAGCCTTGTTTTATTTATCAGTGTTACTGCAGCCTTAGAAACTACAGCAATTGAGATACTTGATGCCTTTTTCTCACTGTAGTCTCATGCTCTTCTCACTTGTTTTCTAGATCAAACTGCTTCCTTCTTTTATGGGCCAAAAATTATTTGTGGGGACCCTCTTTGCTATTTGTATTTCATAACTAATACACATGAAGACTAAAGGTCACTGGGAGCAAAAGGCCAAGTTCAAGAACAAGCATAACATGAGATTTAAATATTATACCCTAAATTACAACATTGAAAACCTCTGTTCATTTGTTACCTAACTCTGCAGTACCTTTACTACCTGATCTGTGAGTTGCCTGACATCAACATTTGAATATATGCTCTCATAGTATCTCTTTCTCACCATTGCCAATTAGCATCAAGTTAAGCTCATTCCAAGATCTGGAATTGAGATATTCCTCTACTTAAATCCATGGGAATAATTCAGAGAGCAGTAGGTGCTGTCTGCACATGCTTAACATCATTCTGCTGGGGTAGGAAGCAAGCTGGACAGGGGGAGCAGAGGCCAGCACCCTCAGTTTGGCTGCAGATAGACATAGCACTGTAGGGAAGCTGCTGAGGAACCAATGTTACTGTCTTCCCACAAATTTTTCTTCCTCATTTCCCTCACACTCCGTCTTCTGATTCTACTTTCACCACGCTTCTCTCTTAACTGCCAGCAGAAGTCAGCATGCATAATCTGTAAATACCATTCAGTCATAGAGGCTGAAACGACAGATATGTATTAAATTATTGCAAAGTTTACTAAAGAGAAGCCTCATTCTGATACTTTGACTTTTATGTTGAGGTACTTTACTGCCATTTTCTTAATATGCTTATTTTATATTTAAAAGTATACCTAGCAATATGCAATTATGCAATATACAGATATACACACTATGCAATACATATATACACTATATAAAAATGTGACATAAATATTTACATACTATGTAGTAACTATACTTATCTCTTCTATAAACAAACATAAAATAATACATATTGTAAAGTTAAACAATGTTTTAATATTGTGGCACTAGTATAAGTGCCACTTACAGCAGGGAGGTAACTGTTCAACAGAGCTGGCATGAGTTATCATGCTGTACATCATCAGAGAGGTGTGAGAAGGCACAGGGGAGTTTACTGTTTCACCTGATAAACTAAGCCCTGGAGCAAAGGATTCCCTCCCTGACTGACTTCTTGCTCATTCTCTGATGGCTGCCAGCCGGGGAGATAGCTCATAATTAACCTGCAGTATCACGTTTGCAGCTGATGACCATTTCACACAAGGTCATTTCCATGGAACATCCATGACACTGGTTGCTCCTGGTTACTTCCTCTTCAAACACCAATACTTTAATGCAGTCTTCCACTGACACACCACAGTATTACAACACAGCTGCATAAAACTCTCCAGCCAGCCTTCATTGTGGGCTGCCTCAGGGGGCCATCCAGCTTTCTTCTCTCCTTCCTACACTTTTCCATAGTCTACTTTGCACAGGATTTTATCTGATTGAAAGTTAATCCTGTAAAAATAGAAAAATTCAGATAACGAAGCATTTGCTTCAGTCTGAAGAGTGATTTCCTTTTACAGGAACCTGAAAGTACAGCTGAACAACAACATAATGAAAATGCATCTTCATTCAGCCTCACTGCTGTAATTACTGAACAAAAAACATGTGCAGTGTCCTAAACTACCTTGGTTTTACTGCACTCTTACTGATAGTACCAAGCAGCCCACAATTCCATGCTGCAGATTGTCCAAGCACAGGAAACACCCTCCCCACATCACCATCTCCTCTTCATTTTCCAAACAAGAGATTGCAAAATAAAGGCATAGGAGAACGAAACCATGTAGTAAGGAAGTGACAGTATCAGAAATGGCCTCAGTGCCTTCTCTGTCTGATGTCATACAGCATCTGGTAAGTTAGAACCGCATGAAGATCCACATCCTTGGCATCTCAGTCATACTAGTGAAGGAAGCCATGCAGCCAAGTTAGAGTTGCCTGGAGGAATGGAGACCAGGAAGAGGAGAAGGCAAGCAGAGGACAACCAGTTTTGTAAACTATATAGGTATAGAATAAAATTGCAGCACAACTGATAAACTTACAAGTCAGGTGCCAAATCACCTTATTTGCATTCCACATTTATGTGATCATAGCTACTTGCTTATATTTGCACATTTGCCAAATATATATCTAAAGATGCAATCTTCAAAACATGTCCTAGTCTAAACAGGAAAAGCTCAGGCTGACAAAGCAGTCAAAACTTTGAAATGATAAGGGTTCATCTCTTCATCAGCAAAAATAATTTTCCCAACATCCAGGAACGACTGCACTATTCTGAGGAGTATGTGCTAGAAAAAGTCATACCCTGAAAAGAGCAAGCATGTGAAGACAGGCTGTGGTACTGTGTGCTTGCAGACATTTTGTTTTGAATTTCTCTGGACCTTTAAGGTTATGCTGAAAAAAACATAAGCTTAATCAAAATTCAAGCAAAATCAGGGTTTATAAAGATTTTCTCCATAACTTGCCGATGTGATCAGATATTCAGAAAACAAAAAATCAGCATCTGTTGTGATACAGCCATCCAGATCCTGAAAGAACTGTCAGAGCGAAGACATCACAGCACTCTACCCCACTTTTGCTGTGTGATTGTAATGACTCAGAGCCTGAAACCCATGAAGAACAAAACCAGCCTTAAGGCACTCTGTAAAAATGCTGGAGATACCGTGCAGTTATTGAACTATGGTAAATCAGAGAGCCCTGGTTTCCAAGACCATGCCTTGCTTGCCTGTGTTCACCCGAAGGCGGGGGATCGGTGTCTGTAGGAAGCCACAGGGTGGCAGCGCTGCCCCACACCGGAGTGCAACCAGCCTGGGAACAGCAGACAAAGCATGTCCTCGCAGCCGATTCGAAGAACTTGAAATACTTATTTTTGACAAGCGAATCTAGTCATGCATTTCAAAGATTAAACTGAATCTAGCAGAAGAAAACACGCCAACTCTAAAGAATTCAAATTTTAAATTTCATAGTGTTCCTTCCTTCTATCCTAATTAAAGCTATTTTGCTACCACGTCACATAAGCAAAGTACATAATTACAGAATCTCAGTTTCAGAAAATTTTCAATTCAGTGAATACTCTGCAGGTCACCCATATAAATATACAATTATATAATTTTCATATAAAGACCAATATTCTTTCTAAATTTGAAATCAACTTGACATCTGTTTCATTTCTCAGCCTGGGTGGTGAGTCCTAAATGGGCCACATTGCAGGCACATTCCTGGGCTCCCATGTGAAGCACAACAGCTTTTCCAAGAGAAAATATAAGTGTAGCTGAAAGGTAGCTCCTCACAGGCTCTACTCCCTACAGACAGCACAGGTGAGACAGTGCCAGGTTTAGAGGACTGTCCTGGACAGAGAGAACCAGTGCTATCCAGGCACGCACACTGCGTCCACATGTCCCATTCTGTCCGTTCTGTTCCTCTAAGTGTGCACCATGCAGTGACCAGAGTCCTGCTGCAGTGCAACGTGCATGTTCGGAGCAGCAATTGCTGCAGCGGGCCCTGCTGCCTGCTGGCTCCTGTCAGACCAAGGCTGACCGCTCGGGTCGCTCAGGGTGTGTGCAGCGGCCAGGCCAGAGACCAGGGGGCTGCAGCAAGCTGAGGAGGGGCCAAGGCCAGAGCCCACAGAAATGCCTGGTGCGTGCCACGGGTGTTCACAGCGTCTGAGCCGAAAACTGCATCAGCTCCCCCGCGGCTCCGCTGGCAAAGGCGCTGCCTCGGACGTGGTCGAGCCGAAGCCTATTATCAGTTCTACAAGCTTTAGGGCACGAGACAATGGCGGAAACTGATGCACAGTAAGTTCCAGCTGAACATGAGGAAGAACTTTACTGTGCGCACTGGAACAGACTGTCCAGAGAGGTTGTGGGGTCTCCCTCACCGGAGATACTCAAGAACAGTCAGGACACAATCCTGTGCCATGTGCTCTGGGACGACCCTGCTTGAGCAGGGAGGTCGGACCAGATGACCCACTGTGGTCCCTTCCGACGTGCCCCGCTCTGCGATGCCGTGCGGAGCCGCTCACGGGGGGCCCGTCCCGGGGCGTACCGCGGCTCCGGGGGCGGCGGACGACAGCGGAAGCGCTGCAAGCGCGGCCCCCTCCGTCCCCTCCTCCCTCCCTCCCTCCCGCCGCCGCGACTTCCGGCGGCCGCTCTAGCCGCGCCGCGTCTATGCCCGCGGCGCTGGGGGATGTTTATTGTCGCGGGGAGTCGGCCCAGCACCCGGAACGCCGCCGGGCGACCGGCACCCACTGACCGGCACCGCGCCGCGCCCTGCCCTGCCCCGCCCCGCCCCGACCGCCGCCCGCCCGCCCGCACGGTAACGGCCGCCGCCCGCCGACGGGCCGCGCTCCTCCTCCTCCTCCCCCTCGCCGCCGTCTCGGGTCCGCGGGCCCGGCCGCAGCCGCCGCCGCCGTTGAGCCCCCGCGTCCCGTCCCTCTCCGCCGCCGCCCCTGCCCGGCCGAGGTGAGGGAGGCGGCGCGGGGCCTCCCCCGCCTCGCCGCGGCCCTGCCGGTGCCTCCCGCCGCGGTGCCGATCGCGCCCGGGGCAGGAGGGCGTGCGTGGCCGGGGCCGCCGGGGCAGGGAGAGGGAGGAAGGGGCAGGGCATCCTGCGGGAGAACGGCCCGTTCCCCCACCAGCCCGGCCGGCCCGCGCCCGGCCCCGAGGGCTTTGTGGCGGCCCCGTGCCCTGCGGCGGCCGATGCCCGCGCCAGCCGGCGCTGCCGAGCGGCGGAGCTCGGCGTGGCCAGGCCGCCTTGCTGCCTGCGCTTTGTTTGTGCCGTGCTGGCCGCAGAAGTTTCGGCTGGGGTTGAGGGGGGAGAAGAAGTAGTTGTTGGCCAGAGCGTTGTGACGCTGGCGCATATAGGGCTTTGAGCGAGATTCCCAGCAGCGGGAGTAGGAAGGGTGCTCGTGCTTCTTCAGCTGGGACGCGCAAATGGTAAAAATGTTTGACTGGGAGGGAGCGAGAGGCTTACCCGTTGCCGTAAAATATTTTGTTACAGCTAAACATTTTTACTTTTCTTACGACGTTTTATCATGTTGGAATGGCCACCGAACTTGTTGGTTCCGACTTTTGTCGTACTTACGATGATTTTCCACACATTATAAAGACCGAAAGGATTCTTCTTAATGCCTGTCAATCAAGTATTCCTGGATGTTCTAAGGGAAAGATGGCACAAACTTGAGTTCAAGTGCATCTTGCTTTGAATATGAATGGACCTTTTAATGAGAGAAAGATTTGAGGAAAATGGCGTGTAATGAATTATTTAAAATATGCTTTCTTGTCTTGCTTTATATACTCTTTGGTTTTATTCTTGCAAATGGATTTGTGTTGGACGACCCTACGGAGATGCAGTAGGCTTATCCAAGAGCAGGATTGATGTCCTACTTGCTCATGGTATAGCTGGTATTATCACTCTGTGCATGGATCTAATTGAACAAATCCCTGCTTTGATACTGGCTTTGCACATATTTGAAAATTTTCTCCCCCAAAATATAAATAATTATGACTGCAAATCCTGAAAGGTGAGAATAGTAGCTTCAAGATGGCCTTTTGCTTTAGGCACAGTTTAACTTGCCATTGCGACAGAAAGTAAAAGCATGCACCACTAGCTCAGTGCCTGGATCGAAGAAAGTTTTTTGGAGCAGAGGATGTTCTGCACAGACAATAGTAACTATGTTGCTCTTGTTTTCGGGGAGTCATTCACCAGCTGTTGTGACCTTACTGTGTCTAAGGATTCAAGCAGATTTCAGAGGTGTGTCACCTCCAGCTTTCCATATGGACCTGTTTCCTGAGGGGCTGAACACAAATCTTTAAAATTATATCTTCAGTGGGAGGATGTAATCATCTCTCCCCATTCCTACTAGCAGACTTTATTCATTCTCATATGAAAACGTCCTGTAGAGGTTCATGTTAGCGTCTTTAAAGATGCCTTTCAGGCATTAGTTTGATAAATGTCTACTGACACAGTAGTGGCCAATATCCCTTCAGCTGGGCTGTTGGAATTGTTTGTGGAGTTGGTCAGTTTGTGAACTGCTTTGGAGAAAGGTTAAAAATAACCAGTAAAAGTTGCTTATACTTAGGCTGATGGTGAAAAAGGTGTTTATTAAACTGTTCTGACACTAACATAACCATTGTTACATATCCCCCATCTACCTTTATAGCTCTTGAGTTTCTTGGATCAAAGGTAGTCAAGAGCTTAAAATAATACTTTGTTTATATTCCCCATCCCAAGTGCCTTTCCTTTTTCTTTGATGATGGTACTGTGGTTGGTTTGGAACTTTCTGAAGATAGACTGCTGGCTGTTTTAAGATTGTAAGATTTCTGTGCAGGGTGTTTTGTCTTCACGTGTGTTTATGGAGTATCTAAAATAGTATGTCTATGATTCTAACAGTGGATGTAGAGGTAATGCTTTAAGAACTTGAGTGTTCATTCCTCGTTCCAAAGTATTTCTTATTCTGTAGAGTTTCTCTAGTTTCAGTGTAGGATACATTACAGTGTCAAATATCCTTGCATTAGCTTTTGTTGTTGTTTTTATTTTTGTGTTATCATGCTTAATCTATCTACTGTTTTTTTCCTTCATTTTTTTTTCTCTTAGGGTAATATTCCAGATATATCCTGAAATCTATGTTGAAAAGAAAGAACAATCCTCTAAAATTTCCCTGATAAAACAAAATAATGCAAACTTCTGCAGAGAGGTATTTCAGCTTGTTTCCTCTGTTGGGATAGATTGTGTTAAGCTGGAGAAAAACAATTTGAAATCAAAGTTAGCTAGTTTCTTGTGTTGGAGAAAGTCAAGTGAAGTACATAATCTAAAAGAAATGCTGTACATGTAGACAAATTATTTTCAAATTTAGCCTATTATTAAATTAGCATTAGCTGGCAAAACATAATTTTAGAAATGAGTTTTAGACTGCCAAAATTCTACAGTTCAGATGAGAGAACCTTCAAAGGACAAAATTAATCAACAAAACCTAAGATGAGCTCAACTTAAGCATTTGCAAATCCAGAACTGGAAAGAACCTGTTGTTTGGTTTCTACTCAACCTCTCTGTTCTGCAAGTGTAACTGCATAAGTATGGAATATTAATAGGCTTATAAGTAAGGAGCAGTGTTTTCCCCACTTTGCAGAAAAGATATGGAAATGCAGAAATTCAGGTTTTGGGAAATAACAGTCAGTGCTATGGTAGTGTGTATGAAGAGCAGAGAATACAAGAGACAGCTGGGAAAGAGGAGGATCAGAATGTTCCAGCTGGTCATGCTTGCTGGAGATATGTGTAAATAAGAGCAACATCGTTCTTTCTTGGACACTGTTAGACCTTTTTTGCAAATATGTCCTTCAGATGATATTTTTTTTTTATGTAGCCCACGTATTTTTATTTTTTGAGAAAGTTTAAGTTGCTTCTGTTCTCGTGGTTCCTCTGAATTTGAAGTTATTCAAGGCTTCCAAAAGAAAGGTAACACAACATCGTCTCTGTAAATTATTTTTTCCTTTGTTGTCAGTAAGGTGTGAGACATTAATATGAATGCTTAAGTCAAAGATTGTGATATGTTAACACTTGCTTGCTGCTTGATCACAAGTATCCAAGCCTAGAAACATTTTGGTTATCCCAATCTTTCCAAACAATGCCTTGGAAGAGTTTAAACATTGTATTTGTATGCTTAATAGGAATGGGTGTGTTCACAATCATTGACATAATATATACAATTTCAAATTAAAAAGCCCCTCCCTTCGTATCTGTTGTCTTGAGCTTTCAGAACATGGCTAATTAAAATGGAGGCACACCACTGTAATCTGTGTAATTTTTCTTCTCTTAATATCTATGCAAGTAGATTGTACTTCTAACCAAGATACATTGTAATTGCTGGAAACATCCTTACTGACATCTCCACAGCCGCCTTTTTGCCTTAATAATAGATCTTTTCCTTTTAAATTGTAATTTTCCTCTCTTTTCAACCACTTTTGCCTTTGTTCTGAATGAGCATGTGACTTTTCTCCCTGGATCTTTTTAAGATAAGCCATCTTTTATGGGGACATTATCATACAATACTATGGTTTGCTTAGATGTTAGCAACCTTTCAATGGTGTTATGCTTGACACTGATGTTCTTCCAGAATGTAGAGGCTGAGTGTGCCAGCAAATGCTTGCTGATAATTGGGAGATGCTGCTGATTGGAGGTAACTTGTTGACAATCTTTCCTGGGTTCCAGTAAGAGCCAGGAGCTGGAGCCAGGGTGGAAAACAAATGCCTCTCTGAAGATGCCACGAGTTCCAGCTCCGTGCTGGCCCTGCCTGCATGCCATTCAAAATCTGCACATGTGCTATCTTTGGATCTGGTGCCATAAATTACTTTCCCAATCTGTAGTAGTCCATCAAAACCAGATGGGATAAGTAATTTCTAACTTTGAGGATTCATGTAATTTTTGGTTCAATAAAAAAGATTAAAAAAGGGATCTGGGAGTACTAATTAGTCACTGTTTGTTCTCTTCTTTGCCTGCATTCCCTCCACCCCCACACATAACCTTTGGTTTTTATGTTTTCCTATTGCTGTTTCTTCATCTCTTTTCTGTATTATCATCCATCTTGCCTTTTCTTATATTGGACAAGCCAACAATTACAGAATAATTCTTTCAGCAGGGAACAAGCTGCAGAGTGTAAGCAGTAACCACCACATGTACTGACGCAGTACATGTGCACATCTGCTGGGTAGTTTGTTACTTCTGTGTTGTCAGTGAGTGCTAGTCGAAGATGTACCTTGAGGTCTCCATTACCGACTGTGTCATGATGTTTAGGAAGGCATAGTCAGATGAAAATACTGATAATAGCATTAATGTTGTGTCTTGAAGATTTTTAATATAGAACATAAGGCTAAAACTTTTAAAGTGATATAAATACATCATAGTCTGTTAGGTATGTTACTGTTCTTGATGCACAGTGTCCTGCTTCTTCCATGGCAATGACCATGTGGAGCATTTCACATACGTGACAGTTTTTCTTTGGTTTTTTTCTTTACTTTCATTTATTTTGGATGAAATACTGCTAAAAGATTTACATAAAGTCCTTTCCACTGTATACCAATGATTTTGCTCTTGTCCCCTCTCATTTCTTCACCTGAGATCTGTTTGAGATGCCTGCTGTCTTGGCTTGGTATGGTTACAGAAGAGATGTCGGGTGTTCTTGGGCTGGGATGAGTGGTAGCCCAGCTGCTGGTGTTAGGATTCTCTTTCCCAGCTGAGGTGTGTGTGAGGAGTGTCACCTTTGATGAGCACGGGCAGCCTGGATGCTTCCTGGGTGCCGTAGGTTTGCAATGCATGCACTGGGCAGCCGTCCTGTGCCGTCACAGTTAGCCATGCTTTTCCTCAGGAACATTCCATCTCACTCTGCCTGTGCAATGCCTTCCTGTGGGCAGTGCAGACAGTCAGCCCAGGCTGCTGCTGCCACCAGGACGTTTTGTGTAGTTTGCTTTGAGCTATTATTGGGAGAGATAGGCCAAGAGTGCTGGATGAAGATGGGAAAGCTGTGGTAGCAGGCTGTCTACTGACTGCAGTTTGTGTAACTGGTGTTAGTTCAAAGTTACTCATAGGCTCATCCATTCCAACACAACTGTCAAACTGTTCAGAATGATCAACTTCAGCAGTCAGAGAAGTGTATTTTCCTGAGGTGTCTAATGACATCCTCAAATGAGCTGAAGAAAGATTATCCACTGGAGCTATGGAAGAAGTTTCAGTAATCTTTACAATGTCTCAATATACTTAGTAAGCATTGTAGCCTATTTAACTGGCAATTTAAAAAACTCTTGTATATGTGTGTGTATATGCACTTCATTTCTCTTAAGTCTGGCAATGTGGCTTTGAACAAGTTACGTCCTATTTTCTAGCACAAAGGATACAGACCTCCCCCTCCCCTCACATTGTTAAATGAGTCAGAGTGTAGTGACTTCTGCTTCTTGTGTCTTTTAAGGGGCAAATGTATACAATGGCATTAACAGGCAATTTTCTATTGGTATGTTTAATTTTATCATTTTTGCTTCTCAGGATGTGATCTTCGTGGTGAGCTGGTGGGAAAATTGAGTTGTAAATCACCCCAATGGATGCGGACAGTGATGTTGCACTGGACATTTTAATCACAAATGTAGTGTGTGTTTTTAGAACAAGATGTCATTTAAACTTGAGGAAGATTGCATTAGAGGGAGCAAATGTGATATACAAGCGTGATGTTGGGGTAAGAGATTCAGCATACCTCAATTATCTGGTTTTAGAAAGGTTCCTTAAGCTAAACATTCTTCTGCTTAATACCTGTGAATGGTGGATAGAGAAAAGCAGAATTTTCTTTCTCTATTTCTCTTGCTGTAGGTATTTAGTTACTAATACATTACTTGTACAGAAATAGGAGTGATGAAATGCTGTCTCAGGAGACAGCACTTCGTGAGGTGAATATTGGGTACAAGGTATGTGATGAGGCTTCTTATACCTCAGGGTCTGTTTTGCCTCCCAAAATTTGATGGCTTTGTCAAAAAAATGTATCTTGATACAGAGTCAGCAATGTCAAATCACTGTAATAAGAAAAAAAACAGCATGGTGCTTGTAGTTTTCAGCTTTTTATTCAGTGAAAAATACCTTCATTTAATCTATTTTGTGTACACTGAATCATTAGCTATTTCATGCTTATTTTGCTCTTCTCAGGAGCTAGGTTTTTTAATTAGTGAAAGAGATGAAGGAGCAGTTCAAGCCTATCAAAACTAAAGGGATTTTAGTGTAACTTTAGTTGATTTGGGTAACAGGTATTTTTTTTTTCAAGTATGAAATTTAATTACTGCTAATTACCAATTTTTCTACTTTTCTTTTTTAGAAGGTTTTAATGAAGCTTAGGAAACCTAGGATTACGGCCACAATTTGGTCCTCAGGAAAAGTTATTTGCACAGGAGCCACAAGGTGAGTTCATGAAGATTCTTTCTCTAGCTCTAAATCCTTGTGTATTTTAAAATACAACATTGTAAATGAAGAAGAGGTAAGTACTACCTCTTCTTCATTTACAATGTTGTGCTTAATTGGCGTAATTGTGCTGCTTAAATTGGCTCACACTGGATCACATGCAGATCCTTGTCAAGCTACGTATTTGGGAGGAAGTTTGCTATGTGAAGTTTTTGTGTGAATCAGTGTTGAAATCTTAAACAACATCAGTTTAGCCTTCTTGTAACAGCAGCAGGGAAAACTGCCTTGTTAAGAAAATCCTAAAGAGATTTGAGAAGCCTTTAAGAATTCTGTGTGTTTAGCTAGAAGTTGAGACTTGGGAAGGGATGACCTTTCCTGAGGCTATCTCTTTATTTTTTTCACAAAACCCCACCTAAATTTAATCAAGTTTTACAGTGTTGAGGGACTGGAAAGAAGCAAAAGCAGATTCTCAGTTCAGAGACATCTCACGCTCACTAAACTCTTAAGAGCTGAAATCCTTTAAGACATGTCTGCATTGCGAAGTAAGGATAAGGTAAGGTAAAATAGTAAATTTGCATACTTTCTGTGTCTGATCTCTGTTCCAAAATTAAAGAGGATTGTTCTGGATGTTAACTCCAGACTACCCATGATCTTATTTATCTGTTACGGGTACTTAAAATCAGGTATGATTAAAACATGTCTCTCACTTCAGCTTGAGCCAAGTGCCAAGATATTCTGCAAATAGGCCATGAAGGACTCCATTGGAATGTCTATCTAGTTAAAATGTAATACTTACAGTAGGCTGTCCATGAGATCATGGTTGATGTGCTACATTATATAATGGTTCATTTTGTAGTCTGAGTAGCTGTTGTGGTGTGTGTGTGTGCACACAACTATATACTCTATTTCTGTTAATGCTAGATCCTTTTCTTTCTCCTTTATAGTGAAGAAGAAGCTAAATTTGGTGCCAGACGACTAGCTCGTAGTCTACAGAAACTAGGTTTTCAGGTAATTCTGATGGAAAAGGACTTGCATGACTCAAGCAATGCTAGCAGTTTATTTTTTAGAAAGAAACAAAGAAGAGGGAGTATAATGATTTAGCAGTTAACGTGTTTTCACTCAAATAGCCCTTTTGTGTAGGAATACATTTTCCAGATGCTGGTTAAAGAGAAGCTGTTTTGTTTTGTGGATTTGAGTTTTGTTTGGTATCCAGCTCAAAGCAGTGCTTCTTCACTGGATAATGAACAACAAAATTAGTTTAATGTATGAACAGATGTGTCTTAGATAGAATTTACAATATCTCCAAAGATTTATTTGGAAAATGCTGAAACTTTACTGTAATTTGAGCATAATTTTCACTTGTTTCTAATGGAATAGCAGATACATTTCCATCTGAATAAGGGCAAGTTTGAGCTTCTTAAATTAAAGAGAAAAGTGCTCCTGCACTGTCATGTTGCACAGCTGGAAATATGCCAAATAAAATACTTAGGACAGGAAACACTCTCTTTTATCTGGGTTTGGGTTAACATTACCAGTCAGAAACACCACTTGCATTTCATAGTAAGGGTTGAAAAACAGCAACATGAACCACTTAAAATTACACGATTTGGTGCTCTAAAACTTCCTGATAGTCTGTTGTGCCGTTTACACACAGGTTCAATTTAGGGACAGACAACGAAATAGACACAGTAGCTGTCTTTTTCAGGGAAAGACTATTTTTGATTATAGTATATAAAGGTAGTGGTGACAGCCTATGCTGGTAATGCTGAATCAGACCCCAGCAAAAGTGTGACACTGCTACTGTCACAAATGTGTACTTTGAACACAGCCCTTTAAAGTAGGAATGGAATGTTAAGTCAGTAAGGTGCACAGTACTTCCAGCGTGGACACAACAAGTTTTGTCATAAAGTGAGCAGTTTGTATTTTGAAGGTTAAGTTGATTTAAGGCTGAGTTGCTTCTTTCTAGCTATCTTTCCAACTATCTTTCTAATATCTTTCTAAGAAGTGTAGATTGAAGAAAAATGGCCATTTAAAGTTCAGGCAACCTGAGAAAATGAGCAAAAGTTTCCCCAGTGACATTGCCAACACTGTCCTGTCAGCAGTGTGGTTTCTTTGTGTAGCAGTTATCTGTTGGGTACTTTGTTGTCATCTAAAGTGTCTGTGGTAGAGAATAACTGAGTTATTCAAACAGTTTGACTGGGGTTTCAGAAAGTTACGGAATAGAAAACCAGTTTCCTCTACTGGCTGCTGGACATTTAAAGCAAAACAGTTGTCATCTTTTTTCTTATTCTTAGCTTTAATACAAATGGTATATAGCAACAAGGCATTAAAGAAGTTTGCAACAATATTTAAGCTTTTTATCTGCTTACTTTGATATTCCATGAGCTCTTAAATTTAGTTTATTTTCAGTGGGGAGGCGTTTAGTACAACAGTTTCAGTTGTTTCTGTGTCTCATCCTTAAACTGTACTCTAACCATACTGCGATAGTGACCATGATACAACTGTGAGGTATCTAGTTCAGCAGATAGTCCACCACAGAAGGATAATGTAAATGTTCTGAGTCCATTAAGTACTCTTTAGATGCCTATTAGAAAAGCATCAGACTCAACATTCTAATTTTGACTCATCAAATCATCAAAATATTCTATGTAGTAGCGTTGTTTTTTGTTTTTTTTGGTGTTTTTTTTTTTTGTAACCCATGCATCTGACTTGATGTAAATTTCTAATGTCTTTTTTTCCCATCTCTTTTGAAAAGGTAATTTTCACAGATTTTAAAGTTGTGAATGTTTTAGCAGTGTGCAACATGCCCTTTGAGATAAGATTGCCAGAATTTACGAAGAATAACAGACCTCATGCAAGGTACGTAGGATTTTAAAGAATTTTAGTCCTGGAATACTTCTTAAGCTTTTATTTTTCAGTTCTAGATCTCTCTTTTTTACTTTTCATTTTGTTTTCTAGTTATGAACCAGAACTTCATCCTGCCGTGTGTTACAGAATAAAATCTCTCAGAGCTACCTTACAGATTTTTTCCACAGGCAGTATCACAGTTACAGGTATTTTAATGTCAAAAAATAAATATTTAACTTGTTGGGAATATTTAACTTCAGAGCCAGTAGGTTTGGGAAAGCAAGATTTTTAAAACAGTCAAACTATTATGTTGAAAGAATTCAGTTTCCCCGTGCTAGCACCTAGTTTGTTTTTGAGTGAAAGTGCCAGAAGAGTTGTAGAGAAAGTATTATTATTGGTAGGTTCAAAAAATTAGTTAGACTGAGTGTACACAGTCTGGTTTTTTTAATGAAGCCAAAAGTAAGGTGGCACTTAAGAATGCAGGCAATTATTGTTTATTTAAATATTTGAATTTTCTTACATTTTTCTTCTGTTTGCAGAGATGTTAACTACACTGCATTTAGTATTAACATTCCTTCCATAAATACCTATTTCCAAACTGCAGATTTATGGAAACTCTTAGGATATATAGCATTTTGTATAGTATAGCATAAATGAAGCTGACCAATATTTACAGTTCTTCAGACTTGTGCTCTCTTCTGTTAAAGCTCAGCTAAGAGAACCACCACTGAATCACAGGCATCAGTGATTTTTCCCATGTAATCAGAGACATGGTTGTCCTGGGTCTTGGAGAAGCCAGTCATTTTTTTCTTCTCTCTTCATCATTTTCATTTTTCATTCTCTTTTCTGTTTGCTTGTGAGATGTCCACCACCAGTGTCCAGATACAAGAAGTCAGTTTTTCAGAGCATACATGTTAAAATGCTATAAAACCAAAAAAATAATTTTGTATCACTTTAGCAGGAATTATGTCTTGCAGTTGCTAGAGCTCAGCTACTGGTTCAGAAGCTGGGTGAAGATTTTTTTCTTTTCACATCTTAATTCAAATGCCTGTGTTTATGCAGAACATTTCCCACAAGATATTGAAAGCAGTGTTTTCTAAAGAAGACAAACTTCCATCAGATTCAGTAATCTAAAAATGAAGGGGTAAAAAGTATTTCAAGATTGCACTGTATGTTTGAAACGTGCAACTGGCCTAGCCAAAACTAGAAACTAAATTTAAAATAAATAAGAAGCAGTATCACTGCAGTAATAAAAAGCTCTCACCATGTCTTGTGAGACTCCTAATGAGATTCAGCTTCTCTCTAAGATTCTTATTATTTCATTGCTTACAAAATCACTTCCATATTTTTAGAATTTTCCTTTCAAATAGGAAGGCAAATATGGTAAACATAGAAGTTTCACATCCTTCTAGTTTAGTTGTTGCAGTGAGTTTGAAAAATTAACTCAGACCTCTGTTGATTTTCTAGGCTTCTGCTTTGCCTCTCTTCTAGAGGAAAAAAATGTCCTGAGTCTTATGCTTCTTATTCTAAAAATTATTTAAATTACTTTTCAGCCATAGTGCACTCCTTCTCAAATGTGTTCAGATGAAGTTTCCTTTAAAGATTCATGTTTCTGTAGTACTAGTACTTGTAATACCTCTGCCTCAGAGAATTTTGAGATACATAATTAGAAATGTTACAAAAAACCCAGGAAGGTGAGTTCTTCTCATGAGACAAGTATAAAAAGATTTTGTTACTTTCGTAAAACATAATAAAAATCACTAGCATGTAATAGAAAGAATTATTGTTTCTTTGACTCCGAAATGAAAAACGAGGGGGTTGTTTAGGGGGGTTGTATTGTTTTGGTTTGTTTTTTTCCTTCTCTTATATGCCCTAGAATGAGGATCCCATTTTTACATCTCTTCAGCCTTAGAGAGAGTTACTTTTTATTGCTGGAACGATTTGCCTACTCAAAATCTCACTATTTGAAGGCTCCTCCTTTCCTGACTACTTTCTTTTCTAATAGCGGCCAAATTTAAGGAGGGTGCAGTATCTACCCAGAAGACAGGTATCTTTCACTAGGCTTGTTTTAGCTGGATGCTTCACTCAACGAGTTTGAAAATACAGGAAGAATCCTATTCTTGTCCATTTGCTTTCTGACTGAGCACGTAAAACAATAATTACTTAAGTATTTTATGCTTAAGTTATTGGTTTTGGGAATAATTTTGAACAGTTCTCTATACTTGGAAAAAGCTTTTGAAGTCTAAAGTGAGGTTACAAAAACCCTGCGTTCCTACTCATCAAAGCATGTGAGAAATTGCTGTTCTCCTTTACCTGCATCACCAAGCTTCTATCCAGAGTTAATATCTTCCAGCATGTTACTGCTCACTTATTTGCAATCTTAATTTTTCAGTGTGTGAAGTGGTCTGATACCACCAGCAAGCATTGCTAGGTCATTTTTCCTTTTCTTTGCCTGGATGCTCACAGGTCATGTTAGATAACCTTCATATGCTTCATCCTGAGATGATAAAACCATTCCCTGGCTTGCAGGTTTTGTCCTCAGATCAATGATGAAGCTATTTGCAAAACCCGGGATAGAAAGTAATAGTCTGTAATTTTCAAACCTATAATAACCTTGCTTGAAATGTACTTCAGTTAAATCCAGCATTATTTAACAGTAGCTTTTGTTGGTAGGTTTTTAAAGCAAGAGCGATAAGTGGCTAGGCTTGAAGAAATACGAATTCCTAGAAGATTGACATAAGTAAAAGAGCTAATTTTACCTCTGCCACTCAGCCCCGTCTCTGGGCTGTTTAAGCAAGTAAATTGAAAATCAGCCAAGTTGTTATGAAATTAAATTACAGTATTATTTAACTGTAATCTGTCCATTGACAAATGTAGAACATCTTGCAGATTTACAAGAAAAGACCTTCACATGAAAAGTGATCAGAGAAAATTTGTTAAGTTAGGAGAAATGGGGGAAAACTTGTTATTGTCTGTGGTATGAAGTTGTGATTGCTAATAATATTAAGGGTTTTTTTTAAAGGTACTGTTGTTATTTTAATTTCTAATTCCCTGAATTTTCTCTTCTTACTGCCTTTTTTTTTTTTTTTTTTTTTTTAAACTGTGTCTTAGGGCCAAACGTAAAGGCTGTTGCCAGTGCTGTGGAACAGATTTATCCATTCGTGTTTGAAAGCAGGAAATAAATTTTGTAATTCACCACTTGATGGTTAGGTTCCCTAACCAAGCACCTTCAAAGACTGCTGCACATTGGACTAAAAGCAAAAAGGAAAACTGGACCAACCATAGCAGAGGAATACAGACTCTTGCACTTGCTCATGGCCACAGTATAGACTCCAGTTCTTTTGGATTTTACTCTTAACAGTGCTGTATTGTAAAAACGGAAGTTTACAAGATATGAAATTGCTGCTTTTAAAAAGACATTCTATTTATTTTTGCAGTAATTTCTGTGTATTCATAAGCAAAGCTGTCACGATGTGCACTACCTTTAAGACATTTTTTTTTTTAGCTTGAGCTTGTGTTTTATTTGTGAATAGTCTTTTACATTTTTGTATGCTGAATATTGGGCACCAAAGAAGCTGTAAAAGTTATCTTTTTCACCTGATGAATGTGCACAAATAAAAGTTTGGAAAATATTTCTCTTCATACCTGTTCTGTTATATTCCTTCCCTTTTTATATTACAATTAAAATTGTATAGTTGCAAATTAATTTGAAACAATGTAAGAATAGTCTTTTGCTGATACCTTCTGTTTCTGTTTGTAGTATGTGTAAAACTTTGTGCTTGGGCTAGACTGAAATCTATAGTAAATCTATGTTTATCTGAGGATGAAATTTGGTTTGTTCCCAGTTCTCTTAACTACATGCCAGACTTGAAGTATTTTCTTGTTGTTACATGAAGAGATGACATTTCTAAATATAAAGGTCTACAGCAAGTGTTTTCCTGTAGATGAATATGCTGAGTTGGAAGGGAACCATCAGGATCACCGAGTCCAACTCCTGGCCCTGTGCATGACACCCCAAGAGTCACACCCTGTGCCTGAGAGCATTGTCCAAACGCTTCTTGAACTCTGTCAGGCTGGTGCTGTCACCACTTCCCTGGGGAGCCTGTTCCAGTGCCCAACCACCCTCTGGGTGAAAAACTTTTTCCTGATACCTATCCTAAACCTCTGACTCAGCTTCACGCTGTTTCCTCAAGTCCTCTCACTGGTCATGAGAGTGAAGAGATCGGTACCTGCCCTTCTGCTTCCCCTCGTGAGGATGTTGAAGACCACAGTGAGGTCTCTCCTCAGTTTCCTCTTCTCCAAGCTGAACAAACCAAGTGACCTCAGCCCCTCATAAGGCTTCCCCTCCAGACCCTTCACCATCCTTGTGACCTTCCCTTGGATGCTGTCTGATAGCTTAATTACGTTATCAACTTATGAAGCTACTGTAGAAAAAACAACTGCCTTGTCCACCTATTCAATGCAAAAGAAAAAAATTTAAATGTGAACTTCAGGAAAATTGTTGTGCTTCAACTGGAGAAGATGTTGTGGTCACTCTAATGCAGCCCCAGCCTATTGTTGAATGATTAACACAGACCTTTTCTACACTTCTTAATGTATACTGTTTTGATGACAGGAGCTGCCAACAAGCAGTGAAGCTTGATTCTGGCATGTATTATTATTGGTATTAAACTTGGACTTGGAAGCCAGTAGATGTTTCTCTCAGTAAGTGCACATTTGAAGCAGAAGAGAGGTGAATGCTTAAAAGTAACTGCAAATGCTACTTTTAAAAAGATACAATAAATATGTATAAATGTATGTATGTCTTTTTTCCCTATCTCACTGAAGAGAAATGTAACACTGCTCTTGCATGCTGCAGGTAATGTTCAGTTCTAGGGGGTGCTAAAAATAGTAAACTGAGCTGTTACTGTACCAGAAATCACAGCTTCCAAAGAAAGGCGGAAGAACAGCTGGAGGAAGCAAATGCCTGGCGTGAGGGATTTCATCTGCCTGATGGGGTGATGTAGAACTTGGGGCTGTCCGTAGTGATTTTGTGCAGAAAGTATGTAAAGGAAGGAGTAGTATGGGAAATGCTTCACCAAATCCTCTCAGAACAAAAAGAAAGAAAACTTTGCCATAAGTTGTAAGTGGTATGTTCATAAAGGCCTTTTGGAACTGTGTAGGTGTCAGAGAATGGTTTGGGTTAGAAGGGGCCTTCAGGATCATTAGTTCCAACCCTTCTGCCATGGGCGGGGACACCTTCCACTACACCAGGTTGCTCAAAGCCCCATCCAACCTGGCCTTGAACAAATCCAAGGATGGGGCATCCACAACTCCAGGCAATCTGTTCCAGTGCCTCGCCATCCTCACAGGAAAGAATTTCTTCCTTACACCTAATCTAAACTTACCCTCTTTTAATTTAAAGCTGCTCCTCCTTGTCCTATCACCACATGCCCTTGTAAAAAGTCTCTCTCCATCTTTCTTATAGGTTACCTTCGGGTAGTGGCAAGTTGCAGTTAGGTCTTCTCTTTTCCAGATGAACAATTCCAATTCTCTCAGCCTTTCCTCACAGGACCTTTCATCATCTTAGTGGCCTCTTCTGGATTCTTTCCAGCAGGTCTGTGTCCTTCCTGTGCTGGGACCCCAGAGCTGGATGCAGCACTGCAGGTGGGGTCTCACCAGAGCAGAGGGACAGAATCCCTCACCCTGCTGGCCACGCTGCTTTGGATGCAGCCCCTGGCCGTACAATTGGCTCTCTGGGATCCAAGTGCCATTGCTGGGTCACGTCCAGCCTCTCACCCACCAGAACCCCCCAAGTCCTTCTAGGCATGGCTGCTCTTGGTCTGTTCATTCTCAGCCTGTGTTGATACCAGGGTCTGCCTGGACCCAGGTGCAGCACCTTGTTAAACCACATGAGATTTGCATGGACCCACTTCTTGAGCTTCTAAGAGGGCTTATAACCATGAAATTATGAGGTTGAATTCAACAGTCAGGGAATTCAATACAGCACGCTATATGTAGAAAAGCTTGCTACACCTAAGTTTTCCAGTTTTTGTCAAATAATGTGGACCTTGGCACTCCTGACGTAAATAAGGATTTTTGTGCATAGTCAAAGAGCAATGAACAAGCCACCATTAGGGAACACTAGTTATTATATTATTACAATCTTAAAAAGGGAAAGGGGAAAAGCAGCAGATATTTGAACAATGAACAAAATTGTAATGGGTTTTGAGGGACAAAATGTAGTCCCAAAGTGATGAATGAGGATTTGGCCATTACAACTACAATAGCTGTCGTAGATTAGGCTTTCCTCTTTGAATCAAATTACAAAGCTCTTGAGTGCTACCAGTGAATATATGGAGCTTTTATGAAGCATATGTGTCTCCTAAATTTATCTGTGGAGAAAGAGGAACATTTTGCTTTGTTAGTACTGTCACGTAGTGTGAAATCTGTCTCTTAGAACAAAAATGAAAGCTAATAATGAGCTGCAATGTATTAAAATGGGCACTGGTTCTTTTGAAGTGCTGCCTAGATCCATGCTAGCAGTTTGAAGCCTTTGTAACAATCCATAACAGAGCCAAAAAGCACACTACCAAACTTGCAGGGTAGTTTTGAAGAGAATAATAGCAAATAAAATGTGTGCCCACCTGTCCTTCTAGCTCTAACGGAGCCTCAAACTATGAAAACTACATTTGAAAACCTCTGATGATGAAGGGCATCTGCTGGTGTATGCTTATTCTCAGGGATATCATTCCTTTTCCTACTGCTCTCAATAGGTAGGTCCCCACCTCAGTTTGGAATAGGCTTTGCTGCTGATGCTTTCTCCTGTGTGCACACACAGCCCCCCTTTCCCATCATCACCAGTTAGCATTTGCTCCTTTGCTGTGTTGTGCTGCCTCCACCCAGGCTCTTGCTACCAGCACCTGCATGCACAGTAGGAAATCCAGGCCAGACAGTGTGTCCCAGCAGAATGGCTCTCACCTCCAGTGTGGGGAGCAGTGTTCTGGATAGACTTACCTGTCAATCAATCATCTCTTCCTCTGTGGCCATGTTTCCTGGAGCACTGTTCATCTGTCCCTGGTTTCTCCATGTGGATCCCATGCAAAACTCCCCACAGTGCTCAGCTGTACCACTGGCAGTGACATAAAAAGTTCATTTCACATTCTTTAGAGAGAAGGGTTGGTTCTATTTATACACCCCACTAAGGGCAGTAGATTGATAACTCTGACTCATTGCTGGCTTGTGGGTTGTCACAGCTAGTGGAACTTTTCCTGCCATTTCTAGCACCATTTTATCATTCTCTGACTTGCAGTTAGTGTTACCAGAGAAATTTGTGCTTTCATTTTCAGAATTGTATGCTGCTTTTTTCACATATTTGCAAAGTTTTGAATTCCAACCCAGTCTTTCCCAGCTTAGTGTTGCCTGCATATTTAATAAGCATATTCTGTTCTGTAATCCAGTCCATTGATGAAGATACTGAGTAATTTTAGATCTGGGACAAATTTCTTTGTGGAGCGCTTCAGAGATCCAGGGATGTGATTTGTGAAATGTATCCCTTTTTTCCCTTGTATTTTCATAGTTGATGAAATGGTGAGTGCCAGCTCTGTGTCATCAGATGTGCAGGCTTTGTTATAAAAGACTGTACAATTATGGCTACGTTTATAGGTTACATAAGGCTAAATCTGTAGGATTACAATTGAGACTGCAGCTATAATGATTTTAAAAATCCTTGACTACAGCATCATCACTTGTAGGAGTTATCTGAAGGTCTATCACTGTCTCACTAGTATTGAAACTATTCCTTCTTCAGAAATATGGCATTTTTATTTATGTGTTTCTGCACTAAATAGGTCTGCATAGGAAAAGTTTAGAAGAGTTTGCAATGATCCCAAAAACTGTAAACTGGGGAGACAATTTCAATTGTACGTTCTAAGTTAAATTTGTTTTTGTAAGAACATTCAGAAAATTTATTACAGCAGAGGTTTGTCTGGGAAGCTGCAATGCTCAGAAAGATTTTGCAGAAGCTCCTTTCACTAAATACAATGTAATAGAATTTAAAAGCCAGTACAGGCTTGGACTGTGTGTGCAAACGTCTGTTATCTGGAGGCAGCTATCAGAAAACAGTACCAGCCATAGCAAATGGGGAGGCAAAAGGAAATGCAAATAGTCCACTACCTGGTAAAGTCCAGGATTAGGAAAAAGATTAATTTCCTGCAATATAGTCTTAAAATACAGTAATACTAAATATTACTGGATTTAATCCTAGGCTGTTGTTAGTATAAGAATTATGTTATTTGGAAGCATATTTGGAAGACTGCTCAGAGTCACCTTAATATTTCTTAATATTCTGAAGTTGACTCAGTAGAATGCATGATACTGATAACCGTCCTCCAGCATAAACATGAAGCAGGTAAAGAGATTTCCATAGACATCAGTAATATAAAGTTAAGGTTCTCATCCTGAGGTAGCTAAATTTTCAGTGACTAAAGGCAAATAATGGCCTTGACTTCAATAGGTTTTTTGTTTTTTTCAGGTTTTGAACATGAGCTCACTGTCTTGACTAGACTTGTGCATATAAATTTGTGATGTCAGTATCTAGAAGTGCGACCATGTGAGAATCTGATCAGAACCGATCTGCTTTGCTAGGAAGTAAAACTTTATTTGTGTCAGTAAGTCACATTTCCTTCAGTTCAGAACACAGTCAGATGGTTTTAATGCTATGAGACAGCAAATAAAGTGGGATCATGTGCTTAGTTCAAACAAGCATCTGCACTCCAGCTGACTCTGTCAGTCTTCCCGCTGCCTCAATGAAGAAATGCCACTTTGTGGCTACAGAGACAGCCAACATGCTTTTAAAGCATGCTTTGGGGTTTTTTTCTTTAAACAAATAATCAATTATTTATCTGCTAAGATATATTTATCTACTGATCACTCTAACATCTATTAACCCACTAAGAAAAAAATACCCATGTTCTTTAATGGGAGCCATATGGATAACCTTTGTAGAGACTTGTTGAGTACTTCAGGATACACTTGCTAAGCAGTAACCAAGAATTGGACATAATTTATGATCTGCAGTGATTATGGTTCCTTCCTGAACTCCCTGTGTGCTGCCATGTACCACACAATTCCCAGTTTCTGAGTCCAAAAGCCAAAGTCTAGTGTGCCCTGTGTTAAGAAATAAAATTATTTTGGCATCAACTCTGGTACCTTCAGTTTCCAACTTCCCTGGAAATGAGAGGCCAAAGAAATCCTATCTCCTCTTCTGTAAGGCCACCATCAGTTTAGATTAATTTATTATGCAAATCATAGAATCAATAAGGTTAGAAATGAGCTCCAATATCGTCGAGCTCAGTCTTTGACTAAACACCACCATGCCAACTAAACTACGGCACTAAGTGCCACATCCAGTCATTTCTTGAACGCTTCCAGAGATGATGACTCCATCACCTCCCTGGGCAGCCCATACCAATACTTAACTGCCCTTTCAGTGAAAAAATTCTTCCAGATACCCAGCCTGAACCTTCCTTGGTGCAACTTGAGGCTGTTTCCTCTCAATCTGTGACTGATTGCCTGAGAGAACAGGCCTACCCCCACCTGGCTACAATGTCTTTTCAGCTAGTTGCAGAGTGATGCATTTAATGTCCCACATTAAACAATCTGACAATGTTTTCTGAGGAGTATTTCCTAGGTCACTGAATCCTGGCCCTATGGAGAAAACGTATGTAAAATTCCTCTTACAAGTTGACTGTACTCTGCATTACAAATAATTAAGTTCAGCTGAACAAGATAATTTTTCAAATCTTGTTAAGCTGAAT